AGATAAAACTGTGGGGGTAGGGTTGAGGGACAGTTAAATGACATAGACTGATCAAGGATGAAAGCTCTATTCATAAGTTGAGTTCTGAATACAAATCTGAAGGAAGTTAAGGAGAAAACTGTGCAGTCTTCTTTAGGGACAGTCCTTTAGGAAAGGAGAATAGGAAGTAAAAACACATTTTCAAATAAGTGCTTGAAATGTTTGAAGGCAACAAAGTTAATTAGAATGCAGGCTGGGGTTGGGGGTAGGTAGGTAGCAAATGGGGGAGTAGAAAACAAGGCTTGGAGAGGTAATAAGGGCATCAGAGGGCTCTGCAGACCACTATAAGGACTCTGGCTTTTATTGAGTAAAATGAAAAGCCAATGCAAAGTTTCAAGCAGTAAAGTGCAATGATCTGACCTTCATGGTAAAAGAAGTATTAGGCTGCTCAAGTGAGAACAGACTGAAGTTAATTTTAGAAGGTGTGAGATCAGCCAAAACATTATAACCAAGGTGAAAGGTGAGGGTGGCTAGGACTAATTTGGCGACAGAAATAATGAGGAATAGTCAAGACCACTGCATATATTTTGAAGGCAGAGTCAACAGAACGTGATGTTGGAAGGGTAGTCAACGATAACTCCAGAAGTCTTTGATGAGAACAAATGGAAGGATGAAGTTAGCATTTACCAAATTCAGAAGGGATGTGTGGAGGATGTGCAATCAGCAGTTCAGTTTTACACATGTGAATTTTGAGATGCCTATTAGAAATTCAATTAAAGGTGGTAAGACAGATGTAAGTCTCAAGTTCAGGAAAGAAGTATTGGCTGCAGATAAAAATCTGGGTGTCAGTTTTCAGATGCTGTCAATTAGAAAGTGAGCATGGCACAAGAGGAAAGATACCCAAGGACTGAGTATTTAAGCATTTCAGCATGTAGAGAGGTCAGAAACATGAGGAGGAACTTACCAAGGAGGCTGAGAAAAGCAGTCAATCAGGTAGGAGGGGAATCAGAAAAGTGCAATACTTTGAACTCAAGTGAAGAAATACTTAAAGAAGGAGGGGGTAATCAAGTGAGTCAAAAACTGAGGCCGAGGAAGAAGAGAACTGACCCCTAGACTTAATAATACAAAGCTCACCGATGTCCTTGGCAAGAGCGGTTTTATAACAGCATGACAAAGCCCTGAGTGGATGGGTTCAAGACAAAATGAGGAGAAGAAGTGGAGACAGCATAAACAATGTTCTGGAAAAGTTATGCTGTTAAAGGAAGCAGAGATATAGGGAAGTAGCTGGAAAGAGATATGAGAGATAAGGAAAGGGTCTGGGGTTTTTTGTTGTTGTTGTTGCTTTAAAGAAGGAAGACACAACATATTCGATTGCTAACAGAAATGATTCAGTAATAGGAAAAATATGATGCAGAAAAGAGTATGAGTTCTTTAGTAGGCAAAGAAAAAATAAAAATAGTATACAAATGGCAAGGATGAATTTAAGAAACAAAACAAATGAGCAAAGGGAAAGAGAGACAAACTAACAGATTCTCTTTTATTTTAGAAACAGACTCTTCACTTTTAGAGAACTGATGGTTACTAGAGAGGAGGTGGGTGGAGGGATGAGTTAAATAGGTAATGGGGATTAAGGAGTATACTTGCTGTGATGAACACTGGGTGTTGTACGGAAGTGTTGAATCACTATATTGTACACCTGAAACTAATATGCATGTTAACTAACTGGAATTTAAATAAAAACCTTAAAAAAATGGAAGGTTTTGATGGGGGGTGGGAGGGAGGGGAGGGTGGGTGATGGGTATTGAGGCGGGCACCTTTTGGGAGGAGCACTGGGTGTTGTATGGGAACCAATTTGACAATAAATTTCATATATTTAAAAAAATGGAAGGTTTGACTCAGATCATACCAGAGACAGATCACTCAAAGTAACAGGATGAAAAGCAGATATTTATAAACAGATATGACTGACTGCAAGTAGTGGTAGTGAGAGCATGGGAAAATTTTCTTCCAATTGCTTCTATTTTCTCAGTAAAAGAGGAAGCAAGGTCATTTGCTTGAAGTGGAAAACAAGAAGGTTAAGAAATAACCATCTAGAAAGTGGGGGAGTAATTAGACTGAGGAAATAGAATAGGATGGCCAGAAGGTGCTCACTTGACATTATTAGTTATAAGTCTAAAGTGAGACCAGTCAGAATAGTTGTATGCTGTCTCCAACCACATTCCACTGCCCGAGTTCAGGCACAAAAGAGATGGAGAGTTGGATTTCACAAAGTTAGTTTTTGCTAGGTAATTTGTAATAGTGAAAGACAAGGGCAAGAGAGGTGAGGCTTTGTAAATTATAATGAAAGTATATGGATTTTAAGCCAAAACAGGAAAATAAAAATGAAGAGAGGGACACTGAAAGAAAAACAACTAGTAAAACCCATATATCCAAATAGGACAAAGAAGTTGTGGAGGTAGAGTCCTTGAGGAATAAGCTGGAAAGACAGGAAGTAATGGTAAGTCATGGGATGCTTATAATTGAAACTATGGAAGAGTTGCTATTATCAACAATGATAAACGTGATGGTATGACTACAGGTGAGAGTTCTAAGGGTGGTGGACAAAATCACTGAAAGAGAACAAATAAAAGACTGTGTACTATTGGAAGGATCATTGTTTTGGATACTGAAATCACCAAGAATTAAGACAGTGTTCGGAAGAGTGACAGGGAGTCAAGTGTTAAACTTTTCAAAAAATGAGGGTCTACAGATGAACCTAACATAGAAGGTTAACAGGTGTATAGTCTGGCAGGAAAAGCCTCAGAAACCTTTGGGGGGTAGTTAGGGAGCAGGGGAGACTCTTGCAGTGAGAAGCAAGGAAAACACCTCCCTCATCCTAGTTCAAGACCCAGCGGTATTAAGGGATTAGAGAGAAAACAGTCACTATGTAAGAAAGTTGTACAATAGTGTGTGCAGGGACAAGCCAGGTTTTAGAGCAAAAAAGGTGAAGAAGTGTAGAACACAGGGATTTTGCTGATAATGTGCAACAAGAGGGCTTTCTGGAAGAGTTTAGGGAGGTATGCAGAGGGTGGGGGTCAGATTAGGTTATGACCAGAGGGAAAAGTCTGGAATCCAGGGCTTCTGGTGATTATAGAAGAGGAATAAAAGATATGATGGAAATGGTCCATTAGGCCTAGATAAATGTTATACTGAAGGGCAGAAGGGAGGGAGGAAGGGAAGGAAGAGGGAAGGAAGAAGAAAAACTGGTATGCCACTTATATTGCCCCCCAGCCACAAATTCGCCCTCCGTTGTCCTCCTTGTGAGAAGAAAGTGGACAATATAAACACGTCTTCTCTGCTTGCTATCATGATGTTAAGCTTTGTCAGCAGACAATGTTGGAAGGACAATGCAGAAGAAAACAGCCTCTATTCCTGATTAGCATGCTTCCTTTCTTCTTGTTCCTGCTGCATGTGGGACACACAGTGACATTTACCCTGTGGGCAGCTGCCAGGATTGTTCTGCTGGTGCCCCTGCCAGCTTCCCTGTGAACTTTAGCAGCAACCCCAAGGCCAGCTTCCCACCAAATTCTGCTGGTGACCCAACTGGCACCCCAGCCTACTACCCAAAGAGTTCAGCAACCTCTAGCAACTCCCACCCGCACTCCAAAAGGCTTCCCAGAAGATTCAACGATCCTTCAAGCAGCTCCCCAGTACATTTCACTGGCACTCTAGGCAGGTTCCCAGGAGCTTCATCAGCTCTACAGTGGACAGTTTCATGTTTGCCAGCCTCGGCCTATGGCACATCAGTGAACTCCACCATCCAGTGGTTTACAGCCATACCACAAGCAATAAAATTTGAATCTCAGCCTTAAGGATGGGACTGGGGAGATCTTCCAAAGTCTATTCCTTCTTTGGGTACTCTGTCTCAGCCCTAGGAAGAGTGGCTGCTTCCTATGATCTGCTATTCCTATATTCTTTAGAGTTCTTTATCCCTTAAAGTTCATTCCCTAAAAATAGTTATTGATTATTTATATTAAACTTCCCTTGATAAAATTATTATGTGTTTTTTCTCCTGACTGGATGCTGACTTATACAAGTTATTTGAAGACTAACTTACAATAATCATTTGAACTACCTTATGACAGATTTTAACCAAAGTGACTGATGATTCCTACCATGAAGTTTATCTTACAGCAATGTGTTCACATGTGCCTAAACACATATATATGTATGTATGCATACAGGTACATATGTAGTCCAAAACAAAACAGGTTTCATATGCCAAAGCATGCAGCTATTGACATGAAGAAAAATGACAAATTCCTGCAACTAACACTGTGTTCTTAAGCATGTCACCTAAATGCTATAGGCCTTAATTTTTTCAGATGAAATATTACCAAGTAGGGGTGCCTGGTGGCTCAGTTGGTTAAGTGCCAACTCTTGATTTTGGTTCAGGTCATGATCTTACAGTCATGAGATCGAGCCTACTTAAGATTCTCTTTCCCTTTCCCTCTGCCTCTCTCCCATGCACGTGGCGGGGGGAGGGAGGGGGCAGCACGTGCGTGGGAGGACACACATGTGCTCTCTCTTGCTCTGTCCCCCAGAAAAAAATATATATATATAATTAAATACTACAAAGCAGACTATACAGTAACATTCCTTCCAGCTCTATGATTTTGATTTATTTATCTGATTGTGAATTCTCAAATACAAATTTTTCCCACATTTTCAACAAGTGTATTACATTTACTTGTTTTAGGCACAAAAACAAACGCTCTGCTCAGGTTGTTCAAAAGTGATTTCACAGATAACATCACTTTCTCTTTATTGCACCAACTACTTAATATATCTACTTCATGTTTCCTTGTGATTTTGGTAAGTCTTCCCGGTTTTAGAAGACTGATGAAGCAGGGAATAGCAATGTTCTTTAGTAACTTAACGAAAACAATCCTATAAGTATCAAGATAACTGAATTGAGCTGCAATAAAAAAAAAAAGATCAAATTTAATTTGTTACTAACACAGTTTGTAATATGATCATACCTGTTTATGTTTTTGAAGTGGTTTCTTTTCATGTAATTTTTTATCTCCAAATTTCTTATATGTTAAAGGTACTCCGTATTTAGCGGCAGGCTTTGTAATTTTCTGAGCAGACACAACAGAAGCCAAGCTTTGTCCTGAAGCTGGTCTTTTAGCTACATGGAAAGATACAAAGAGTTTTTTCTAGAGTTGTTTATATCAAATCTTTACTTTCAAAATTCTTCAAGATAGCACTTTTTCATTTTTACCATCATTGACAACATTTGAGACTTTTCGTTAAACATCTTATTCACGCCTTAGCACATGTCAATGCCTTCATTATAAACTATTTGATTCTAAAGCCACTTTTTGGAAAAAAAAAATCAAAAGGCCACACATCTCTAAGATATTGAAAATTTCATATTAAAAAAAAGCATATCCCTAAAATTGACTGTGAGTGATGACTGTATAAATCTGTGAATATACTAAAAAAACACTGAATTATATACTGTAAATAGGTAATTGAAGGGTATAGAATAATTAACAAAGCTGTTAAAAATGTTTGTAAAAGAACACTTACTGTTTTAGAAATTACTTTCAAAATTAGCACATAAACTTTAAGAGTAACTATTAAACACTAACACCATCATTTTGAGCAACATTAACACTTTCTTCATCTATATAATCTGAACGATACAGACCTACAGAAGAACAAAGACTTTAAAACAATTATTATAGCTCAGGGTTTAATGGAATGGGTACCTTCAAACACTAATGGTAGGAATATAAAATGGTCAAACTTTTTGGAGCGGAATCTGTATCAAGAATAAGGTTTATGGACTACTTTTAAAGAAATAATCAGAAGAGATATATAAAAAGGGTAAGTACTACAGCAATAATGAATTCAATTACTACTGAAACCTAGACAAGGTGAAGTCAATCTTAGAACAATAATAAATTCAAGAAAAACGTTTAAATTGAAGAAATTTAGAGGAAAGTCTACTATTTATGTCTCTCAGAGACATTAACTAGGAACTAAGAAAAGTGAAAGAAACAATTTCCCTCTGAAAGTTCAACTGTAAGATCAAATCAGAACACATATATACAACATCACAACACCGTAACTTGGCTAAATGTATTAACATAACCAAAGAAATACTATGTATACCAGTACACATACTGGCATACATACTGGAAAAGGAGATAAAGTCACAAAAGTGTAAAAATGGAGATTCCCAAGAGAAAAATATTGAATAGTTCCCATTCACACCCAGAAAAGAGGGAGAATTACGTCACTGATTTGGTGGTCCTTTTCAGGCTCAGTGACAAGGCTACCAGCAGGATAAAGCTTAATATGGGGAGTTGGAGCCCACAAAGTATCTACAGGCCCATCAGCAATACAACTCCTATTTGAGCCTCATGATATTAAACATTTCATTCATCCAACTGCTCTTACAACAAATTAACTTTCTAATTCCTATGTAGGCTTATCTACATGGAAAGAATGTGCTGACACGGAATATTTTGGTCTTTGTGACAATGAAGCTTTTTGATCAAGATGTGACTTCTCATGAGGCGTGAGCTCCAGGAGAGACATGCTGATTCTGCTGTTTGTCTGTCTCTTGTGAATTTCGTTTAGAGTGAATTGATTTCCCAGGGACTGACAGTCTCTGCACCCTGAGAAGATGAGTCTAAGTGTCTTTAGGAAGAGGCAAATATTGCTGGCCTTCCTAAGAACACACTGCCATCCCACTTCCAGCTTCCATGGGCTCAGTTTTATAATAGGGTATTTTTTTCTAGTAACTGACTCAAACTCAAAATGGAGACACACAAAGCATTATGTTTGAAAAACAATATACTCTTCAAATCTTACATAACTTCCACTGACTTTAGAAATCCATTCCGGTATCATTCTATGAAGAAGAAATACAGTGTCCTTTGCATACAAATATACATACACATAGTACATAACCACACCCACTTATAAATATTCTTATAAATATTCTGCTGCTGTTGGCCACATTTAAAAGAAAATTATCGCTGGTAAGGTACCCAACTTCATATTAACTTACTTTTTAAAAATTTTAGAATATGAAGTATTTCTCAAAGAAAAATATATCACATAAAGATGTACACCTAAGACATTTTACAGCATTCTACAACAATCTTAGAACAGCAGCTAAGAAGGACAATTTCAAGATAGATTTCATTAAATAAGGCAGACAAGAAATGGAAATTTTGTTATTAATTCATCAGAAAGTGTTATATATTGTCGTCTCTCAAAAATAATTTAAAGATGCATTTCCCCTGAATTAAAGTTATCTACAATTATCCCAACTTATTATACCTACGTATATCTCTAATACAATTAGAGAGAATTACTAATTAGCATCAGTGTATTAATTACTGCAAACATACCTGTTTGGATTCACATTAATTTCACTTACCTGGTATAGGCTGCACTCCAAACTTGGAAAATGTTTTTAGACAAAATTCTTCTGCTATAAGCTTAGATTGAAAGAGGACAAAGAAAAAGTTAGAAAAGATGTTAAGTTGCCAAAACAAGAAACCTATCCATTAATCAGATTACATTTTCTCCCTTTTTCAGTCACAAATATGCTATCAGATAAACTATACTTACTAAACCTAAGTAACCCATTCACCAAATTCATCTCATGCTAATTCCCTTCCACTCTTACAAAATTCTTACATAATTCAACATATATCTCTTTTTACTATTACTAAAATACTCTAATACTTTATTCCCTAGCATTCATAAGCATATTTTGAGAACCAAAAATCACATTTCCTGAAGTCATTTTCTCTCACTAAATTTTTTTCCCTCTTTAAGTGCAAAACGATGATGTCAACAAAGATTTAACTCAATTTTCAGTCTGTTTTGTTTCTTACTGGGTGGGGTAGGGGAGAGCAAGTGAATTTTCTCTTTAAGAGAAATGAGGCCTCCTGGAGAAAACAGTTCCACAGTAGCAGTGGAACAGAAGCTCCAACAGGCAAAAAAACCATGACTGAGATGGTCATCTGTCCCATTAAGGATTCCCATATAGCAGTTTTCAATCTCATACTGGCAGAAATGGCACCACTGGGGACGTATTCAATAGTGGAAATCCTCAGGCTCTCCCACCTCAGAATCACTAAGATAGAAATTATAGCAATGGGACCTACCAATGTCTTCCAAATGACTTTTTATGTATGCTGAACCTTGAGAACCACTTCACCAAAAGATAAATTAAATTAAGTGAAGGTCTGGTTCATAGGCAATTCAGAGCAACTGTGTAAATATATATTCTCTTCTGAACATTTGCATTTTGTCCCTTCCTTTTTCGTAGAAAAAAAATGGGTGACTTATGAACTCCAACTTGCCCCAAACCGGGCAAGTTTCTTTCACTGCTTGAATGTGAGTTTTACTTTTTTGTGTGAATGCAATATGAACTAAGAGATGTGGCATATACAACCCGAGAAGATTCTGAAATCTCTATGCTGTGCTATCCAACATAGTTGCCACCCATATGTAGTTATTTAGATTAACAATTTAAATAAATACAACTTAAAACTCAACCCATTGGTCACACTAGGCACATCCAAACTGTTCAATAACCACATATGGCTGGTGGCTACAATAATGGACAATGCATATATAAAATACTCCCATCACAGAAAGCACTATTGGACAGCACCTATACTCCTAACGAAGTAGAGTTTAACCATGATTTGTCAAGCTTCTTCCAGGGTGTGCAAGATTGAGAATTAAGTCCTATTAAACCTTGGCTGATGGTAGATAGAGAAGTAAGAAGAGATTAAAAAAAAAAACCCTACAGAATATTATTGTAGTTCATATAAAAAAGCTCATAAATTGTTTCAAAGTTTAAGCCATAAAACATGTATTATAAACTTTCTCACTAGAATACTGAACTAGTGATATATAGCAGAAAAGAGACCTTAGGAATCAAAGAAGAGCTTTCATGAAAAATGAAATCTAAGTGATATCTAAATAGCAACAAGAAGCTATACATATACTAAACACATACTATCCAATATTCTACTTGTTAATAATCATAATCTGCTTTTTTTTTTCTTTCCATATTATAAATCTTGACATACTAGGCTTGAATATTTTCTTTCATTGCTGGCTAGTTGAATTCTAGTGCTTGACACTGCATGTCCTAACCACTGGTTTTGGGATGCGGTGGGGTGGGGGTGGGGGGAAACTGCAGCAAGATTCAATGAAGTAGGTGCAAAAAGCAATAGTATATTGCATCATAAATCATCCTTGAAAATGTTATTTATAACAAAGGAGTATTATAAGACACCTACATTTCAGAGATTCTTGCTATATCCTATATAAGTAACCTTCAATCTACACATTTTAACTGGCTTTCTTGATTACTAATGTATTCTCCTTGTAGGAATAGTTAAATCCATACCTGTTTTCTGAAAATTATTTGTTCACACAGATGTTCTATTAAGCCAGAGAATATGGATAGTTATCTCATGAGTACATAAAAGTAATAAAACTAGGGGTGCCTGGGTGGCTCAGTAGGTTAAGCATCCGACTCTTGGTTTTGGCTGGGGTCATAATCTCATGGTTTGTGAGTCTGAGCCCCACCATCAGCCTCGTGTTCAGAGTGTGGAGGCTGCTTGGGATTCTCTCTCTCCCTCTTTCTCTGCCCCTCTCTCGCTCTGTCTCAAAATACATAAATAAACTTATTTAAAAAAAAAAAGGCAATAAGGGGTGCCTGGGTGGTTCAGCTGGTTGAGCATCTGACTTCTGCTCAGGTCATGATCTCACAGCTTATGGGTTCAAGCCCCACATCAGGCCTTGCGCTAACAATGCAGGGCCGGCTTCAGATTCTCTGTCTCCCTCTCTCTCTCTTCTCCTCCCTTTCTCAGGCACACACACACTCTCTCTCTCTCTCTAAAATAAACACTTAAAATTTTTTTTTAATTAAAAAAATGTAATAAAACTATGACTTTGCTAGGTATGTGATTTACAGAAGATTTTAACAGGCACCTGGGTGGCTCAGTCAGTTAAGCATCTCACTCAATTCAGCTCAGGTCATCTCACAGTTCATGACATCTAGCCCCACCATCTGGTTCTGCCCTGAAAGTGTGGAGCCTGCTTGGGATTCTCTCTGCCACTGCCTCAGTTATGCACCCCCCCCAAAACAAATAAATAAGCATTAAAAAAAAAGAGTTTAACAGTGGTCATTTAAATTAACATAGGCCATACGAATACTTCATATAAAATAATTGCAGTTTCAGGAAATTATATCAATAACCTGTGCTAATTGATTTGATATAAATATTTAACAAATCCCATCAAATTAAAATTTTAGTTCAACTCAATAAGTATTTATTACGCATCTATATGTGAGTAATAGAGAAAAAAATCATGAGTCCACAATCTTTTATACATACAAATGCCCACAGAACGGTTTCCAAGAATTATTAAATAGAATATAATCATATAACTTGATATTAATATATTTATATTAGTATAATAAAACAATATATTGATATTTTATATTGAATATATTGAGCACTTACTACATGCTAGACAGTAAGCAGTTTACAAACATTATCATTTTTTTAATTCTTTAAAAAAATTAAGATTTTTTAAAATAACCACCTCATGATGCAGATATGTTTGTAATCCGATTGTTTACAGGTCAGTAAAGTAAGGCACAGAAAGGTTTAATAATTTTACAGTTAGAGACGGTTACCAGAAGGGAGGTAGGTGGGGGTGGGTGAAATAGGTGAAGTGATTAAGAGTACACCCATCTTGATGAGCACTATTGTACAGAATCATTGAATTGCTATATCATACACATAAAATTAATAATAACACTGTGTGTGTTAACTATACTGGATTTAAATTTTTTTTTTAATAGTAAGTTTACAGCTAGAAACCCAAGAAGACAGAGAGTAGACAGGCAGCTGCCAGGAGTTGTGGAAGAGGGGAACAGGAGTTATTGGGCAATGAGTTTGTTCTACAAGGTGAAGAGCTGTGAAGATGAATGGTGGCACTAAATCAAAGTGAAAGTCTATTTAATACCACTAAACAGGGCATTCAATGATGCATTTTATGTTATGCACATTGTACCATGATAAAATAATTGGAAAATACAATAACAGAAACCTGAGACAGAGGGATAATTTTGTGATATGGTGATTTATATTAAGAAATAAATATTCGGTGTCCAGTTCCTGGCACACAGCTCCTAAAACTCTTAAAGTACCTAAGTGGTTAAGAATAAAGGTATCAAAATCCAAAAAGGATAAAGGTGTCTTTTGTTATGCCTAACAAGCCCCTTTCTTTTATTTTTAATATTGTACTGCATTTTTTTTTTAATTTTTTTAAATTTACTAAATCCAAATTAGTTAGCATATAATGCAACAATCATGTCAGGAGTAGATTCCTTAGTGCCCCTTACCCATTTAGCCCATCCCCCCTCCCACAACCTCTCCAGTAGCCCTCAGTTTGGTCTCCATATTTATGAGTCTCTTCTGTTTTGTCCCCCTCCCTATTTTTATATTATTTTTGTTTCCCTTCCCTTATGTTCACCTATTTTGTCTCTTGAAGTCCTCATACAAGTGAAGTCATATGATTTTTGTCTTTCTCTGACTAATTTCACTTAGCA